TAAAAAGGGGGTCCCCTCGAAGTGACCTCAAAATAGTCTTAAAACTGTTTTGGTGTCGGTAGTATTGGCCTTACTTCTTTTAGCTGAATTATGCTGAATTGAAATTGGATGAGCTGGCATTCAATGGTAGATCCAGGTCCAGTGGTAAAATCATTTTGCTTGATTTAGGGCATGGTTTCTTAATTTGTGTTTGGATTTACTTAGCTTTGTTCAGAGTGTGTTGATTAATCGTAGGTGGATATCATTTTATCTGGCTGCTTCTTGCCCGGCATGGTTCTTTTGTGAAAGTCATTTTCCCAGTTTGGTGCCCTCAGCTCTGAACATGTGCTGGCAATCCGTGCTATTTCTTGTTGGTGCGTCGAGGTTTCTTGTCGTGTTCAGACAAGCCCATGGAATCCCGGTCAGATAGCATAGATTCTCAACAGTAAAAATAATGACCACCCCGACACAAGAGTCTGCCGATTTTCCCAGTGGCCACGCAACAAAGGTCACCTGGCCTTCAGAGAAGTTCGCGCGGAAAGACGCTGGCATGGTCGGGTGCTGAATGGCGATTCTGCGCTGGGTGATTTCGTTCTCCCAATGTTTTAATCCCCTTCTGGCGTTTATTTATTTTTCCTGGTTCCTCAAGCAAATCCAAGGATTTGTTTCGAGCAGATCCACAACATGTGTAACATATTCTGACAAGTTTTGTGTCGTAGTCAGTGGTTTCGGACAGGCGAGTAGCAAACCATGCAAAATTGGAAGCAGGTCGGAGGCTGCAAAAGTAGCCGTGGGATACATAATATACGGTACAGTATATATATATATATGCATTGCACCGGACCTGCTCTCCAAGCAGCCTGAATACATCAAGCTGATGCTTGACCTCCCAAGGAGCAGGATCATTGATTAACTACAACTGATCACAGCTCCAAGTGTGATGTTATGCCAATGCAGTATAGTAGTTAAGTTTGTCTTGAAAACATCACAAGAGCCGGGGTACTGCAGAAGAGGCGTACATTAGTTTGTGTATGTGTGTCCCATTACCAGTTCCAGTTGGTCACAGATCATCACTATGTTTGAAACATGCCCCTACTAACCATCATCGTCCACTGGTACTGGTGTTCGGATATATGCTAAACTAGCCAAGTGTACATTTGATATCATTTCATGTAACCATTCGCAAAGGTATCGAGCAGTGCATGCCAGTGGCGGCCTTGAATCCTCGTGAGGTTAACGTGCAAGGTGTGCCAAGCGCAGTGCCCGAAGAAGAGGCGCCATGTGCTGGAAACAACCCGATGCGAAAGGACGTCCGCGGATGGGAGGAGTGGCTTTGAGGAAGCCAAAGGTCCTGAAAGCACTCATGTGTCAACAGTAACAATTGTGAGCTGATTTGGACGAAGCAATAGATTCCACAGAATTGACTCCCACGCTGCCAAAGACTGCTTCTCATTGAATCTGACACCAACAACAACCGGCAAGCTTGGGGATAAATTGAGAACAAGACATCCAGAGGGTCTCAAAACAAGTCGGCTGCAGCGTACAACTGATGATCTTTGCACGTCCAGGTCCGGGAATTCCTGGAGCAAGTGGGGAAGATCCAAGACCTCAGGACTGCAGGGGCGGCCAACAGAAAGACCAAGAGAACATCCGAAGAATCCTTTTCTTCAGATGTTTGTGGGTCCAAACGAGTCTGGGCAACACAGCCCAAAGGGTGGAAGGTTCTTGATGTTGGTGGTGACAAAGAATGTGTGCTGTTGTGGTTTATGGATGTTGGTGTTGCAGTTCTGTGCTGATTTCATATCAACACAACCCCATATCTCCAGTCCAATGTTCTTCACTTGCACTCCCTGGAAGTTCTCATGGAAGTGATCCGCTTACAAACAGCTGGTGCCATCCACGATGGCCCATGGATTCTTCCATGGATGAGCTGTTTTCTCGCCAGAAGCCCAAAACCCCTTCCGGGCCATAGCCACCCATCCCAAAGCCAACAACAATCAACACACCAAACACGTGAAACAAACCACGCCCGTGTTCTCCAGACTGGACAGGGTCGTCCCCGACAGGAGATACAAGGACATCCGCTTCGGCGAGGTGCCAGCCGAGCCGCCGACGCCGTTTTTGGGTTCGGCGGTGGAGGGACGGTATACGACGTGAGGGGAAACGCACTGACAGATTTGTTGGTGAACATCATGTTGAATACGTGACCTAAAGGCTTGAACTGGTTAATTTTGAGATCCTGGGATGCACTTAGCTTCATGAGGGCCTTCGAGCCTTGAGATCGCAGTAAATGATTTGCTTCAATCTGTCTTGCTTGAGGGAGACGTTGTTGTTTGCCAGCAAAACTGACCAGCATGGTACGGATGAAGATCTCAAGAAGCCACTAACTCTTGAACATGAGAGCGGAAAAAGTGTCGGAAGTTGTGAATTGGAGCTTGTGCACTGCATTTTCTGCAGGCAGCTGGTTGTGGGAAGTAAGCACCTCAGAAACATTGCATCCCCAGCCTTATGTGGGCTTCTCTGACACTGGGACCATGGTGATGTTTGCCTGCTAGTTGGGAAAAGAGCCAGACACCGTCAATTTTACAAATGGGCATAATGCCCCCTCCCACCACATTCTCAGACCTTATACTCACAGGTGTTGTTCAAGAAGGAGGATGATGCATGGGATGTTCGGGTCGCCTAGATGGTGAAAAGAGGCCGCAAACAACACTGCTTGGACCTACATATACCAGCACCCTCCAACAGGTCGCCTAATAGCTGTAATTCACACACATAGGGTTTTGAGTACATGCATTATATACCTCAAGTATAGAGTTTATGGGTGCAGCCTTAGGAGGACGGGAAAGGGTATTCTCTAAAGTTCCAGTTTGAAGGCAGTATTGAATGGTGACTTTAAACCATGTCGTCGTCGTGGCACAGTGACTTGTGTTCTTTGAGATGACGGCCGACATTCCACACCTACATCGGCTCAAGTTGGCACTCTAGTTCAAGCGTTGATGGTGGATCTTTGAGCCGGGCCCCAAGCTTTCGGCTAATGAGTTCTTGTAATTTCAGTTAAGCTGTAGGAAACCTTTCTATCTCCTCCAGTGCTCACCAAGGTCATGAAGTAGCTCACAGCAGATGCCGCCGTATGCCTATTCGATCTGTTTAGGACTTGTTTGGGACCACAGTCAGCATTCGAGCACTCAAGCGTTGGACAGTGTGTAGCTGTGCCATAGAAGTTGGCCAGCGTACACGCTAGTGCTCGCCTTTGGTCCGCAGAGACTCAGAAAGCTTGCTTTGTGCAAAAGGGCCATAGCTTGAGCACTGCACATTCGAGTTGTTCTTTTCAAGAAATTGTCGCTTGCCAGCTTTCACGGGAAGAGCCGACACGGTGCTGAGCAAGCTTCTTCCACAAAGAAACCAGGAGTTGAAGTACATACAGCCAGGTCCTTTACACTTCAAAGCTGCGAAAAATTGCTGTCTGACAGGTGTTTGTAGGCTGGTCCCGACCAATGCCAGGGCTTGCCCTTCGAAGCAGCTTTTGTTCCGAAGGAGAATCCCGAAAGATTGATTTCGTTCACGCGCCATTGCCGGCAAATGCCGGGACTGTGCTGATGAAGCTCACTCCGCAAAGAAAGGGGTCATGGAAGCATAGGCCGGATTCCGCCTTTGACTTTCAATACGTTGTTTAGTAGTTTAGCAAATAATAGACCTATTTTTCGGACTAGCGCTTGCAAGCTGTGTCCGGCAAAAGCTGGGGCCGCTTGCCGTTCGAAGTTGGCAGGCACGCGCCGGAGCTCTTGGCAGGCTTTGCGAAAGAAGTCAGAAAGTGTTCTTAAAAATAAGCCAACTTGCTCGTTTCAAGAAACTTCATTGGCCATCTCTTGTCAGCGCATGTTGGGACGGCGCTGGGCAACGTTATTCCCAAAGACGCCCGTGATTGACGCATACGCCGAGTTACCAGTTTCATGTACAACATACAGCTCAACACTAAAGTATGCTTATCCATCAGTGTAGCTGTGGCCGGCTTATGCCCATTGGCCAGCACACGCCAAGGCGTTTCGCACAGAAGCTATTTTTGTTCCTGTTCTGTTTTGTTCCGTTCCGTTCTGTCCTCTTCTCCTTCTCTTCTCTCTTCTTTCTTCTTCTCTATTCTTTGTTCTCTATTTTTTCATCTGTCACTGTTCTATTCTATATCCGTATTCTCTATCCTATCTTCTCCTTTTAAAACTGTCCTATTCTATTCCCTTCTCTTCCTTCCTCGTTGTTTCTTCGCTTTTCTTTTTTCCTTTCCCTTTCCAGTCCTTTTTGCCTACTACCCTTCCAACAAAGAGTGAAGAAATCGTATAGGCCATCCCATAGGTACCCCAGTTGGGTCGTATGAGGTCACTTAACCTCTCTTGGTTCCCTTCCCTTTCCTCTTAGAGAAGCGTGTGGGGGAGGGGTTGGGCAGAAGAGGAGAAGAGGACAGCTCTGATAAAATCTAACAACCCTCACCTGGCAGGTGGGGAACAATGTGGAGCCGAGTGACCGAAGACAGACATCACCACACATCGACTGCTTTCAGTCTGTTGTTGTTGTTGTGTCAACCTTGTCAACGTGCCTCGAATAAGGAGACCTGTCGGAGGATGCTGTTGGTGCGTATACTATAACTATTCTAATATGAGGGGATTGCCACATGGGACCCACAAAACTCATCTATATATCCCTGATATCTTGGTCGCTGGCGGCCAGTTGAACATTCTGATGAAAGCTGCCCGCTAAGCCTTGTGCACTTGCAGGTTGTAGTTTAGCTGTTCTTTGCATGTGATCGCGAGAGCTTTCTTTTGGACCGTCTGGTTTTGTTTAAGTGGCATGTTGAGAGATCGTAGAAAAGTGGATGCAATATGGACCATCATGAATAAAAGATGTTTGTCCCTCATAGGGTTGGGGGTTTTGTTTTCGGTGGGTTCGACAACAAAATCCTGTGCCATTCTTTGCCGCTAGCCCTCGAACTGCCTCATCAGCCCTTTTGAGTTTCCTCGCCTCTCCTTTTCAGCCATGCGCGAGCTCGTGCACGTCCAGGGAGGCCAGGAGCGAGGGAAGTCCCTCGTGACCACAAACGAATTTATTAGAGACACTCCCCAAGTGAGGGATAAACCATGGAAAATGGTTTTGTCGGTCAAACTGTTTTCTTCGTCATGGTCTTCCCGTGGTCCACCTCGTGCCACGTCCGTGCGGCGGGTCCGCGGTGAGGCCAGTGCGGAAACCAGATCGGCGCCAAGTTCTGGGAGGTCATCGCCGACGAGCACGGCATCGACCCCACGGGTGTCCGGGCATGGGAAGAAGGTTGATGTTTTCTTTTTGGGGGGATGGTAGAGGTGTCCGGGTAGAAGGGAGGTGAAGACTTGATCCACAAAAATTGAAACACATTGAAAGACCCATCTCAAAATATGTCTCACAACAATTCTGGGTCTTGACCCACAGCGAGGAAGAAGGAACCTCCAGAGTGGAGCCTCCAGAGTTGGGCGAAGTGAGGTCGGTTCAGAGCTGTTCGTGTGCTGGTCGTGCCCACCGTTTGGAGTTGTTTCGCGCTTCTTGATTACACAGTACAACATGCATTCATATACATATTATATATATATACATTTGTAATATACGTTATATACATAACTATGCATTGTGGGCTTTGGCACTGGAAGGTTGCAACACGATCCAACAAGGCCGGGCAGAAACACTTAAGAGGACATGCTGGGAGTTTGTGGCCCAAAACATGAGTCTATTGACCACTGTCACTTGCTAAATATATTGAACTATGATAGTATATGGGTAGTGCAAGAAAACAGCCCGACTGTTATTCGGGCCAAGATCAAGTGGAGTGGATTTGGGTTGGAAGAAACTGATTCGGGCTCTTCATCCAGTATGGCCTGAAGATGTTACTTTACCATTAGGGCTACTGCGCGTAATTAGGGAACTGTAGATTCACAGAAGGTTCTCTATTGGAATCGATTTTGGCAAGTAACAGCTACTACGTGAGAACTAGATCACTCAACAGCATCAAGTGGATACGCAAGACTGGGACGCTCCCTGTGTAGTTGGACCGTAGCACTAGATGGGCCCAGACACTGAGGGAAGCAGGTTGAGATGGCCCACGACATGTTTGGCCCAGTGGTTCACCACGTCCGTTTCAACGCCCGCTTTCTCGGGGTGCTGAACGCCTGGGCCATGCGATGTCCAAGGCACCTATCATGGAGACTCCGACCTGCAGCTCGAACCTTGGAGTAAGAAGGGCTGTTCGATGGTCCAGATCACCAACCAGCTGAGCGGAGTGTTGGTTTTATTGGTTCCGGAGTCCGGAGTCTACCGGCCTAAAGCTACAAACATGTGGTTTGATTGGGCCCCAAGCTCGGGAATTGCCACTCTACGAGCCTTCCAATTGCAAGGCTACTTCAGAGCTGTTAAGAGTCTTGTGATCAAGTTGGTGTCTGAACTTGTCATCCCATCCGGTGGGGAATGCCCCAGTGATTTCACAGGGTTGAATCGCAGAAAGCATATGGGCAGCATATTGATTCGGACGCACAGTTGCATAGAGTAAAGACGAGCAGCAATGTTCATAGAGAATCATAGTCGAAGTGTATAGAAAAGGTTGAGTTGAGAACATTCTTGCAACGTCCTTTTTGAAGAATAACGTGTGTACACTGAACGAAACTGAACGGACACCACAGAACGGATGCAGTTGAGTTGGGACAGAACGGATGTGACATTGGGCACCTGCATTTTTCGGCATGAAACCACGGACCATGAATAGTTTCAATGGCTGAAGCCTCTAAGCACCCAAACCAATTCTACGCAGGTATTTTACAGGATAATTAGCTTCCCTCAAAGCATATGGGGGCAGTCTGCAGGTCCTGGGCGCAGAATTGCAGACAATCACATACCGTCTCCGGCAGACCGTCGAAGATCCACAATTACCTGACCTGTCACCGACAGTGGACAGGTGATATGTCATTAACCTTGCTGTGATGGATGATTTCATATGATTTCTATGTTGTGATTTATGACTGGTGATCAGGTCAAGTGTGTGATTCTGTGAGTGATGTGCGTTGTTTTTTTTTTTTTTTAAAGGAAGGTAATGCGGTGGATTAGGTGCAGTGAGAAGATCGCTGATTCCTCACATCAATGGCGATGTGATGTGGTGGTATTAATCTCAGACTTCAGAGCATACCAAAGATAACGATTTCAGTAGGTGTCGTGCTTGGCAAGCGGATGACGGAGAATCGATGATGTTGCGACAAAGCCATTGAAAATAATGCTACACATATCTACAAATTGCGTTTCAAAAACTATCTTAGTCATACAGAGACTTTGGTTTCATTCCAATGTTATAAGACATTCTGGATCATTCTGGCTTGAATACCAGCGCAAATGATTGAGCCCAAAAGCTGGAGATCCAAGCTTCAAGTGCTCAACAATGGGCATTTGGTGCGTAGACATCCCAAATCCGAAAAGCCAAAACTTCAAGCATTTGTAGTTTCAAGTCGTTTGTATTGTAGTGTCCTAGTTCGCCGGGCCGGGCCGCAGGCAGTGCTACTTAGACTTACTAATTACAAACGATGTTGTCAAGAGGTTTCCTGGACTTTGGAACATCGGAGGCATTCCGAACAAAATCCCAATCGGAGTTTTCCTGTGCGAACCAGGCATCGCTTGACGGTTTTCGAACGGGCATCGCTCATGGAACGCTTGCAGGAACGCATTAACGTTTATTTCAACGAAGCCACTGGTGGGCGCTACGTGCCCCGTGCGGTGCTAATGGATTTGGAACCTGGACTCTTGGCCTCATTGAGTAGCAGCTAGTTGATGGGTCACATCCCATGTCAAGCAATTCTCATGGTTTTTGGGTGGCAGATGGAGTTGACCAGCCTCCAACTGCCCTGATCACTTAGCAGCAAAATCATCAGCATCCCATGGAATGTCCTTCACTTCTTCAGTTGGGGATCAAGCATCACCCATGACTCCTTCTTTCTTTCGAAGTGAGGGGATCGGGCCATCCAGCTTCAGTTGGTCAGAAACTGGTGAACTTTGTAACCTCATTGAAGAGTTTGCACATGCTTGCACCACAGAAGATTCCGTAGAAAAGCCAACTGTCTGCCCTAAGAGTGAGAGAAGAGTCTGGGGTCGGGTGGTTTAACGGCGAAGTATATGCTTCGGGCCCCTAACCCCTTTGACTACAAAATGACCGGCTACAACCCCTACCATCTCCCAGTGTTTTTTGTTTTGATTTCCGTGATTTCTAGTGATTTCCCGGGAATATAACCAAGCAGAAACATTTTGATAGAATGAATTTTGACTACACGTCAGCCAATCATTTTGTAAGAACTGTGCCCTTGTAGCCATGCATTTTTCAAAAAAAAAACATGAGGTTGGGGCCCCGCAGGTTTTACATATATAGTATAGAATGGTTGGCCCCGACGTCACCCATGAAATCTGAACGTCGCTCTCTTTTTTCATCCTTTTTCTTCCACCCAAACGATCCGCTACGGTGCTGGATCTGGTAGGAACCATGGACAGCGTTCGCGCGGGACCCTTCGGACAGCTCTTCCGCCCGGACAACTTCGTCTTCGGCCAGACCGGAGCGGGGAACAATTGGGTGCCTTGGGACCGCGGCGGTGGGGCCGGGAGTGGTGGCGAACAAAGAAAGGGAACTCTTGCGGATCTCCTCTTTGGATCATATCCCGCTGCTGTTAAAACAATACAATTATACATAGGGAATGCCTGAATAGTAAATACAGTCATTCATACATATATAAATATATAGATAGATATAATATGTATGGTGCTGTGGCAATCGATGTTTGGGATGGTTTCGGGTGGGTATCAGCGCACTTTGCATGAATTCCAATGGTGAAGAGAAGTGATGTCCTGTGAGTTTGCCGGTGAAAAATATGGACATGGCTGGGGGTCAAAACGAGGATACCTTGGTTCCCTACCTGGAAGGTCAAGCTACATGGTGTAGGGGCTCTAGGTTTTGAACCATCCCCACATTGGAGGGTTTTTAAGGGGCGGAGGTCTTACTTGAAGAGTTATAGTCAGCCAAGAGACAAAGCCGTACACAAGCCTTGCGCAGCGTTGGAATTCGTGGTAGGATTATGTTGTAAAGTTATGCAGGTTGTCAATTGGGCAAGATTGAGGGTACAAGGTACAAGCATGAAGTGTGAATGGACAAACCAAAACCCAGGTGAGTAGCCAAGTGTCTTCAGTATCTTGAAACTCGGAGGCCCAAGCTCAGAGATGTCCGAACCAAACAATGGAACCCCCACCTCAACCATTGCATCCTAAGAATCAATAGAACTACATCAATCCAGCGTACGATCGGCCATCCGTGTGTGTCCAACGGAGCCACCTCTTGAGGCGAAGGGCCACTACACCGAGGGAGCGGAATTGATCGATTCCGTCTTGGATGTGGTCCGCAAGGAAGCTGAGGGTCGACAGCTTAGCGACCGCCGGACGTGTTTCTGACGTCACGGCTGAGCGAGTCGCCCAAGCGGGCGGTCTTGGACCATTTCTGGGCCGTCTTGGAGGAAGGGTTGAGCGTCACCGTAGTGGCTCACATTCAACGTTTTCTCCGGTCGGATCTCCACTTAGTAGAGCTGGTTGAGGGGTATAGTCAATGTATGTCAATGTCCTTGAGCACACTACGTGTATATATAAATATATAACATATAGACCTGAGTTTTTTTTGGTAGAGTAAGGACATCCTTGATTGCCTGGTTAGTGTCATAGAAGAAGAAGGGGCCACCCCGAGAATTCTCGGTTATCTCGCTTGGCAGTCGCAGTCAGGTGGCATCGGTTAATCCGACCAATGCTTCCAAATCAAATGTGCTTGCAAATCATTTGCTTGTTAATTTCAATTTCGCCCCTCACCCGTTTCGCTCCTTTCGCCCCACGGCGCCACAGAATCGTTCGACCCGCGGGCCTAGGCTGCGATTGTTTGCAGGGCTTCCAGCTTTGCCATTCATTGGGTGGTGGCACTGGCGCAGGCATGGGAACGCTCTTGATCTCCAAGGTGCGAGAAGAGTACCCGGACCGTGTCTTGGAAAACGACGGAGTCAGTATACTTACTACTCCCGCGTTATCGACTCGGCGGGGGGGAGTCAGTTGCGCCGGTTTGGCCAGTGGCCGTTGAATCTGGTTTGGGTCCCTTTTGGGGTGCGGCGAATTGGTGGGGTTGGATGTTTTGGGTGCTTTTTTCATCCGCTTCCGGTCCGCCAGATGCGGGCTGGGATCGAGGTGTGGCATGTATGTTGGAACTTTGCTTTTGATGAGCTTGAGATAGTAGTAGTAATAGTAGTAGTAGTAGCAGCAGTATATCATACCAACCCAGAGTCCAATCCAGCTATTCTTGTTGGTTGCTATGTCAAGCAAGTGCAAATGAAATCCAAGTCGTTTCTGTGGTGATAAGGAATGTTCCGGGCATCCTGGATCATACTAACTCCCTCATACTAATTCCGGGGCACCCTATTAAATAAGGATAACGTATTTTTATGGATGATCATGGGCACCCTGAATTCCGAACAAAATGACACCACACCGGGCCACGGGCTCCGCCAACTCCGTCCGCCCCTGGCCGCCCCCGGCCTTCGTTGTGTGGGACACCGTCCTTGGCGTTGCTGAGGCATCATGGAGACCTTCTCAGTGATCCCATCACCCAAGGTCTCGGACACTGTGGTGGAGCCCTACAACGCCGCATGGCGCCGCAGGGTGGGAGGGAGCGCATGAATGGAAAGCCACCCGGGTGGCATTTGTGTTTTTTTTTGGGGGAACAGTAGATTTGAAAGACCAGCTTCCTCGAGAGGTCAAGATCTTTCAGTCTTCTGGTGGGGGGGCATTTCTAGATTGTGCATTTTAACAGCAATACAAACCAAGGACCATATTGATTGACATGGATAGACTCTTCACCATGGAAAGCTGTCCATCTCATGATGAAATCCATAAGGACTTCGGTCATCCTTCCAATCGACTCTTCAAGGCGGCACAGCGACTCGCTGGTCCAACGTCAACCACATGACTCGGTCCGGGGGGTGGGATCTCTAAGAGTGCTCGTCACAAGATTCGGGCGGATGCGGTCTGAAAGGAGGTTCTTCAGTCAACAGAGGTCCATTTGGGTATCCATTTATAGTTAATATTTATATTAATATTCATGTGTGAAAACTAGTCATACGTCCCTTGATGTATGGTCCGTTTTCTTGAACCTTGAGAAGAAAAACCACCTCGTTCCCCAAGCTGCTTCCCCCTCTTTGATGGATGAAAGCACCTCTCTTGTATGGCCCGTTCCCATCTCCCGAGGCGGTGCTCAGCTTTCATCAGTTGGTGGAGAACTCGGACGAGTCCTTCCTGTTGGACAATGAAGCGTTATACGATATTTGCTCCTCGGATGATTCGGTCGAACAAGCGACCGCGACTCGCGTGAACACGAAGGCTTTTTTGTTTGAACTAGAGCACCAAGCACAGTGCCGCCATGTGCCGCCCTCCCACTTCTTTTTCCTCCCCCCGGTTTCTTGCGGTCAGTGAGGAGTGTGCTCAGTAATTTGTTGGTGTTGAGCAGTTAGCTTGTTGATGCTTTTGGATTATGCGTTCTATGGGAGCTTTTTGCCTAGATTCAGGAAAGGTAGGAAGAAAGCAAGAAGGACTGTGTGGAGGAAAGGAATGAGCAGGGCTATGGGGTTTTACAGTGGTTTCAGAGTAGATGGCTTAAAGATGACATTCAAATGGGGATCGAACCACCCTGTTGGGATTATGCCATCTAGCACGTGCTCTTCAGCTATGGCTAGGCATGCCGTGTGGTCGGTGTGTAGCTTTCCCAATGGTAGACACACCCCGACTGCACACAAGTCGGTAACTCGGAAGTTTCTTCACCAGATGTCCAGCCACGTTTAAAGGCCAAGACTTGACTTGCATACCACGACTAGACTTGCCCCCAGTTAGGGCTAGACTAGACTTGTATTTTGTTTTTGAAGATGAATGATTCATCAACTAAGACTTGCATACTTGCCCAATCTATGTTTGAATTCACTCGAGGCTTCCGCACTTTGAAGTTGACGACACCAACCTACGGTGACCTGAACCATTTGGTGTCAGCTGCCATGAGCGGTGTGACTTGCTGCTTGCGCTTTCCAGGACAGCTGAATTGCGACTTGCGCAAGATCGCGGTGAACCTGGTGCCCTTCCCTCGCTTGCACTTCTTCATGACTGGCTTTGCGCCATTGACCTCTCGCGGCTCCCAGCAGTATCGTGCGTTGACCGTTCCGGAGCTCACTCAGCAGATGTTTGATGCCAAGAACATGATGTGCGCAGCAGACCCTCGTCACGGCCGATATTTGACCGCTGCGGCCCTCTTCCGCGGCCGCATGTCTACCAAGGAGGTGGATGAACAGATGTTGAACGTCCAGAACAAGAATTCATCCTACTTTGTAGAGTGGATCCCAAACAACATCAAGGCTTCCGTGTGCGATATCCCACCAAAGGGCCTCAAGATGGCAGTGGCCTTTGCAGGCAACTCCACCGCTATCCAGGAGATGTTCAAGCGTGTGGCGGAATACTTTACTGCCATGTTCCGCCGCAAGGCCTTCTTGCATTGGTACACTGGTGAGGGTATGGACGAGATGGAGTTCACCGAGGCTGAGTCAAACATGAACGACTTGGTCTCCGAATACCAGCAGTACCAGGACGCTACAGCTGAAGAGGAGGGTGAGTTTGATGAGGAGGAGGGCGAATACGACGGATGAGTCAGGTCATTTGTGTGAACTTGGCAATCCCAACAAAGCCCGCATTTCGGCACGTCTACTCTAGGTGATTGGGACGTGTTCGGGCGAATTTGATGTTTGGTGCTTTGAAGAAAGAATCTTCAAGCAATCCGAGCTGCATGAAAACATGCCTCTAAAGCTAGGTCCGTGGTGGGGTGCAGGGTGGCTGTCCGCAAGCAATATCAAATAATATCAAGCACTTCGTGGTTTTGGAGTTTGGTCTTGACATTCCAATGTCCAAGGGACTCCCACACACAGCTCAGCTTCAAGCCGTGTCACATCCACAAATAGCTCCTCTAGGCCATGCCGAGAAAACAACATCTACAATATACAACAACTGGTGGATCACCCACAATCACAATATATTATATATATATAATATATTGTGAATATATATTACTACATCATATCTATATAGCTATATATTATATATGTATATATATAATATAGCATATATATATATATTACAATGTGTATCCTATATATGGATTCTGCCCCCGAAAAGGAACCGGACCCATCCCTCTCCCACTTAGAACGACGACTGACGAATTCTCGCCTCCACCAGGCCAAGGTGCAGCTGGAGGGCTCGAAACTCTTGGGCAAGGTCTTGCGCTTGGAGTTGGGGCGCCTGGACGGAGTGCACAACGACCCAGACTTACTTCGGCCGCGCACCGTTTCTTTGCTCGTCCTTGTTGGAGGAGACGGAAAGGTCTCGGAGTTAGCGTCTTTTGATGTCTTTTGTGTTCTATCCCTCAAGAGACTGGTGGGAGAGGTTTGGTGAGTTTCCAGACTTTCGATAGGAGCTACTGTTAGGGGCTGTTTGTAGTCTCTTGGATGTTCCAGAGTGAAATTACCTGCACCAATGTCACGACGGACTTGGAAGCACGAGCAGGCCATGGTTTTAAACAGTTTAAGCCGTCCATGTTAGATTTAAATTTCATTTAGGCAATACTGGGACACCTTCAGGGTGTCAATCACCCCTCTGAGAGGGCTTGGTCCTGTTGACGCCTCACACGAGGGCTTTCCTGTTGTGCGTTTACATCGAAGCATCGCTACATACCGTGTGCTGTCCCCGACGAAGGGTGGATGCTGTCCCCTTCCATTTCGGAGAGTCGGTCCAGGTGTTCAGGGGAGTCGGTTGTAGGTCAGGGGTCATGGACGTGTCTCCGGCGGGCGCGCGCGATCAACGAGAGGCTTTCGAACGCGGATCGATCGAACCCTGAAGCGAGACATGTTTTTGGGACACGAGATGACACGAGACATGTGGGCGGTTGGAGTATTTTCGCTCTCCTTGTTGACTGCCTCAAACACTCAAGTTTCAAACCAGTGACCCACCAACAGGTCCAGTTCAAAAAAAGGGCTGTCAAGCGGTTCCAACATGGTGATGTTCCATGTTCCAATCTGCTCGTAAAGCTGGACTTGTTTGTCCTGTTCTTTTTTTTGTGACAGAGGTTGGATTGCTCGACAGATCACTTGAACAAGGTGCGGATCGAGATATTTTGCAGTTTTAAGGACTTGATCTGCTCGTTTTTGAACAGCCTAGTTAACATATGTTAACATGACATATTTGAAGAATCATTCTTTCAACGGCTACTACCAGTACAACTTGAATATCAAGCACTCTGGAAAAGCAGACTTGCTATCTTGTAATACCGTCACACGATCAATGGTCTATGATGGTCTATAGTTCTTGTCGGCCAATTATATTTATATATATACTATTATACTGCGGCTCACTAACATGGAAGGTGCATGTTACACTTCCGCACAATGTATTTGTCAGATGATACCTTCTTGCTGGGCAGGGTCTTGCCCTACTTGACCCAATGCCTGTAGGTGCTAGTCCATGGCCTGAGCTTTTGCACCAGCTGGCAGGCCTGGCGGTCTGGAGTGATTAGACACTGTGCAAGTGGCGGTTCTCTCAGATTCTCCCACTTTGCTTCAGCATGCGGCTCAAGACACCCAAGAAAGCACTCAAGACGTGGCCTGACGTGGGGCACCTCACTTTCAACTAAGTGGACAGGGTGGCAGCTGCAGTATGATGCTTGATGGAAAGTTCTCCTCCGGCAGCAGAGAATGATATGATATACACAACACCCTGGCAACAAAATTGCCATTTGTCTTTTTCATGAATCTTGGGCACGCAGGATATGTGAACAGTATGACCATTTTGGAGGTGACAACTACCACCATTCGGACGTAAAGTGCATGACGCCGGGATGGAAACCCTTCATTCGGACATCTGACTCTGTGATTTTCATAGAATCATTCCGCATGCCCATAGGATGTTTGAATGGCTTCGATGAGATTTGAGATTTGAGTGAGAACGTCCTCCAAATCCATAGGATCCTCCAAAAGTTCACGCGACATTTCCGAGCTTTGGGCTTCACGCTCGGAACAACGGCAGCGGACTCCTTCGCGGCCCTCCCCTCCGCTGTGATCGTCCGGCGGGATGGCGCTCTACGCGGCGTTGGACGATCACAAAGAACTCAGCGCGACCAATCTGGCCGAGGGCGTTCGTGAGGCGTGAGAGGGTTTCTGCCGAGCTGTTCTGGTGAGCAATTGGACGGAGCTGCTCTGCCATGGTGGTCGTTTGGTTTCGTCTTCCCCGTGAGACTTCATCGTTACTACGATCTTTCGAGGCCCAAATTGGGCCTTTAATGTTCGGACAACAATCCAGCTAGGGCCGGAAATGTTGAAAGAAGCCGTTGTTCGACAGTGCTCAATAGTTGATGCATGTTGATGCTAGGCTGCACACAGTTTCAGTCAGAAGTGTAACGCGGCAACTGTCTACGAAGGTCGTGTACTAAAATGAACCTGCCAACCCAAGGACAGTTTAAGATGTTTAAGGAGAACTGCCGGAATCATTTCCGTGCTCGCACTTCCTTGCACTCCTGCGGGCTCCATAAAGCATCATATAGCTGGTGGCGATAGACGTTTAAAAAGAGAACAGAGGATCCAGACAGATCCAGACTGCCTGGAGTGATCGTCATCAACCCCCTGTTCCATCTTTTTTTCTTTTGACGAGATGATAGGGAGAAGTTGACCAATCGGGGAGATCCCAATCTTTTTCAGACCCGGGGAAGCCGGAGAAGCCGATGAACTCTTCTTCTGCGGGAGGTGTGCTGAGTCCGCAGCAGAGTCTGAACCGAACAGACCGTCTGACCGCCGGTTTTTTGGAAGGCCATTCCATCACATGGAGCTCGGTTTGGCAAACAAACCCCCTTGAACCCCCTACTAGTAACATCAATGTTGGTATGTACTTCCCCGCAACTTAAACCAAAAGGTTGTTTTTTTGAAGGCCACGGCATGGAGAGATGTGACACAACTTTGAAGTTGCTGAAGTTGCAAGAATGGTTCAAAGATAGATTGCATGTAAAGAACCTGGTATCAGACCAAATGATTTAAGACTATAGACTAATAGCGTACCATACTTACCATACCCACCCTGTATTAAAGTAGAGGGAGAGGGTATGTGATGTGTTTCGCGTTTCGCCCGGATCAGTTGGCTTCTTGGGCGACTTTGATCAGGTGCATCCAAGTCAGCTTGAAGCGAAGAGCGCGTGCTCTTTTCTCTTTTGTTTAGAGACCATTCTTTAGACCTTTGTCCCCACCTGCAAGGTGAGGGTTGTTAGATTCTATCAGAGCTCTTCTCCTCTGTGCTGTTGCTTTTTTGTTTGTTTCAGTTGTCTTCTTTTTGTGCAGGTGAGTGGTGACCTGGGTGAGCTTGAGCCTAGTGAGCCTTCACTGGTGCGTGGGCGATATTACGGAGACGCTGGGTGAAAAGACATGAAACGGGAGGGAATTCCAACTGGTGAAGTCTAAGTCGGGTGACGGATCAATGTGTTGGGGGAAGCCTTCTAGAGTCGGAGCTTGGATGTGTTTGATTGTTGTGTTGTCAGGGGTGTAGCGGTCTCGCCGGAGTCTCGCCTGCTCAATGAATTCGCCCACTCTCAAGCATCCCTTCTGTCGGACGTGCTCAACTCCGGACATCCATGGAAACTGATCACCTGACCGACCATGGGCGACCCATGCATTGGGGGACAAGAAGTTTCATACCTCTTACAAGATATCGCATATCCGGACCAGGGCAAGTTGCTTTGTGAAATGATGTGAACAGTTTCAACCCCTTGCATCCAAGAGGGCCTACATTTCACCCGACGAGGGGGTAACCACTTCTGATTGTAGGCATGATTATCCCACTTCTATAAGGTCCACTGAATCCGGCAGCACAGATGTAGCTCGGTGAGGTCCTTTATGGCTTCTGGCCAACCTTCGTGTGGACGCTGCTCATTTTGGTGCCGCGGCGAATAGCAGAAGTGAGCTGAGGTCCAGATGGTCAAGTGGTTGTAGCGGCAGGAAACTCAACTTGATACCCGGACAGGACGCTTTCTGTGGTCTGCTGACGTTGGTTGGACCTCAGTTCCCATTTGCTCGCATGTCTCAGCAGAATCCTTCCAACATCTTCCAAACAGCCAATCAATTCCATCAATCCTTCTTCTCCGAACTCCCCAAGGCTATCACCTCTTTGAATTACCATCACCCTCATTGATCCGATGCTGTCCCCAACGTTCCAACGTGCCACCCGACACAGGGCCGAGGGTCAGCACCCACCCATCCGGGACCCGCTCATCCGGTCAGCACTGAGGGTGGGCTCGTGGGCTTGAACGTCTTCTGGGCCGACGAGGGCACCCTGGGCTTCAGCCAGCTGGACCCCAGGCACGGGGCACGGGCACCCCGCGGGGACGCCGAGGTCGCGGACGCGTTGGACGTAACTCGCGGTGGGCTCGGTTCGAGCGAAAACGGTGGTTCGGCTGAGTGAACATGTATATGTAATTATATGTATATATATGATACCCCTGGACATATCCTCTATACAATCACAGGGGTCATGGTATCCCATAAATCGTTTTATGGTCCCTGCCCAGGGGGGCGTGGGGGTTGGACTTTATAGAGGAAAGCTGCTTGTATCCAAGAAACGT